CGGCGGCGGTGGTGGGGGTGGAGGGGGAGGGACCCTGGATGACCAAAGAGCCCTTCAGATCGCCCTGGATCAGCTCTCCCTGCTGGGGCTGGACAACGACGAGACGGGCTCCATTTACGACAGCGAGCCGCGGAAAAAGAGCGTGAACATGACCGAATGCGTGCCAGTGCCAAGCTCGGAGCATGTCGCGGAGATAGTGGGGAGACAAGGTGAGAGCGCAGCGGGCGTGAGGCTCGGATGCGCTTCCAGCTCCCGCGGAGGCGATGAGCGAAATAATAAAAAATCGCTGCTTTCCTCCGCCGATAACTTAGATTTGCAAGAGGAATTGGAGGAAAAAAACGAGAGCTTCGGTGTTTTTTTTTCTCCTTAAAGTTAGAAATCGAGGATGATTTTTAAGGAAGAGAAATGGAGTGGGGAAGTGGAACAATGGGATTGGAATAAAGCATCCGCACTGGGGAATGTGGCTCATTGAGTGCAGCCGCCGTTTCTCACCTTCTTAAGAACTGATTTTATTTTTCCGAAAGGAAAGCTCTGAACAGGAATGTGGGTTGGCGAGTGTGCTGTTTCGTACGGGCTGCCGCATTTTATTTTATTTTTCTGGTTGTCCGGTTTTACAGTATGCCTTTTTTTTTTTTCTGTTGTCGTTCCTCAGAGCTGCACGTTGGTAGTTTTGGGTCAGTTGCATCGCAGATGTGTCGCTGGCCACTTGCGATGCCTTTGGGCGTGTGCCAGGGCTGTGGGCTGACATTACTGTACACTGGGGCTCCTGGACCAGATGCTAGCGATCACCTGGGGTAGGGGGCAACATGTTTTGGGTGGGTGTGTTTCTCCCCCCCCCATCCCTAGCTGCACCCAAATAATGGGTTGTAACCGGTTCTCTTCCCTGCTTCCCCTCTCCTCTGCCCTCCATCTCCTGCATCTCTTTCCCAGGTTGTAAAATCAAAGCTCTGCGGGCAAAGACCAACACCTACATCAAGACCCCGGTTCGCGGGGAGGAGCCGCTCTTTGTTGTGACGGGGAGAAAGGAAGATGTGGCCATGGCCCGCAGGGAGATCATCTCCGCAGCCGAGCACTTCTCCATGATCCGAGCTTCACGGAACAAGAACACAGCCCTCAACGGCACCGTCCCTGGCCCTCCAAACTTGCCCGGCCAAACCACCATCCAGGTGCGGGTGCCTTATCGTGTGGTGGGCTTGGTCGTGGGGCCCAAAGGGGCCACAATCAAGCGCATCCAGCAGCAGACGCACACCTACATCGTGACCCCGAGCCGGGACAAGGAGCCAGTCTTCGAGGTGACGGGCATGCCCGAGAACGTGGACCGTGCCCGGGAGGAGATCGAGGCGCACATCGCCATGCGCACGGGTGGCATCATCGAACTCACGGACGAGAACGACTTCCATGCCAACGGCACGGACGTGGGCTTTGAGCTGAACGGCACAGGCAGCCTCTGGAGCAAGCCCACACCGCCCAGCATCACCCCC